GGTATACACTCAACATCAGGTGAATGGCCTGATCGTTAGACATCGTTTCGCATAAAAAAATCAAAATCAACAAACTATAAAGTCACTGACCTCTCCATGAAACGGACATTAAAGCATTTGAAAAGATAGCCATAATACGTTTTAACTTCCCCTATTCAATGTACCTAAAAATGTTGAACGTATGCTTTAATGCAAAACGAGTATTATGACAATTTTTTTTTCTTTTTTTAATAGCATTGCCCTTACCGTAGAATAACATTATCCCGTGATGTAAGGACGTTTTACAAACATAAATTTCACGTTTCAACTGCATGCACACACGTATATTGTAAACAGTGAACAAATTCATAACAGCCAAAGAAACTCCGATCCTAGCCGAGAATAATTCATAAGGCTGTTGAAATAAAAAAATATTATTAATTATTAATTATTATTATTAAAAAAAAACAATTATTATTAGAGTCGATGGATTGATTCTATCACTTCTATTCGGCTTGGGATCCTGTCATTGATAGCATTAAATCTAGACCAAAGTGTAGTAATCCAAACCCACTGCAGGACTGTATAGAGTGAAATGACAAATTTAAAAATACCTATTATTTTTCTACTTATTCCAAAATTACCAAGTTTTTAAAATAATTTAGTTACATGTAAGCGATATTTAAATATTTCCGATATTCACGAATCCTTTCACGGTAACTAGATTCAATGTATTTTAACTTAATTTTGACAATATTATAGAAAATTTCTGTGCGGAAAAAAGACAACATCGATACAGCTTATTGTATCAAATATGCTACGAAAGCATATCTTATTTGAACGTAAAGCAAAATTATTTTGTAGTAACCAGAATATTCTTATTATTACTTTTTTGATATTATTAAACATATAAACGTGTCTTATTTTGATGATTTCAGAAATTCAATAACGATCACTTGCACCATCTGTCAAGTGCATTCGTTGCGTAACTTCTAGTATTTTATTGGAATATTTTAGTTCGAGGTAAAGCAAATTGATTCGAACTCGATTTGTATTTGGCGGAAGGATCTTGTCTGCTCCACGAATATATAAGCTTTCCTTGGAAAATTGTACATATCGTATACATCAGGATTCCTTTTCGATGTTGTTTACAAGTTCTTTTTAAAACGAAAAACAAAACCGACTTCAAATCTCGCTCTGTATTAATTTTATAATCTTACCTTTAACTTCTATAATATAGTGTAGGTACTTATGGCCGTTTTCACCATCGATTCCTAACTTTAAGAGACACCTAAAAACTAAGGTGACGTAGTCTTAAGTGTGACACTAAAGCGGTGGTGAAAACTGGCACTTAACTTTTTTTAGGTTTCTTTTAAAATTAGGTATCAATGGTGAAAACAGGCATTAGACTATTATGCCTTAATTTAGAATTAGTACTTAGACAGGGACAAAAGGTCACTATAGTGAGCTATAATTTCCACTTCATCCGTTTCTTTCTCTAACGCCCGGTTTCTGAAACACTGATCACCGTAGAAGTTTACTAATCAGCTGTCGAATAGCTTTTCAAATGTCATTTTAGTTGCCAAAAGGATCGTTAAACTCTCTTAATTGATCAGAATGATCTTATTAATGATCGGAATGATCAATTCAAAGAGTTTAACTGTTTGTTTCAGAAACCGGACGAAAGAATCATTTGGTTGAAAAATCCACCGCGATTACTATAGTGCAAATAAACCAAAACCTACTACGTATATATAGCCACGTTTGACAAACTCAAGAACACAAAGAATGCCGTATATTATGAGGACCGTACACGTCCCATAGAGACAACATATCGCTAAGAGAGTTGTGTCTGAAATACACAATTATTTTATTTTAAAGCACCTATCAAAATCATGTACCAACGGCTCTTTGTGTACCCTCTCGCACCGAAACACTGCGAGTGTGCTTTACGAAACACAAATTACAAAGACGCGAGGTTTCGAGATCGGCTTTTTGAATTAATTAGTACCTACACTGTTCTCATACGCGACATTTTGAATTCGCCACCGCACTGTACTTTACAGTGTACTGTTGTACACACTCACTATCGTGCATCGAATGTGAAAATCATGATTCGTTTCACATATGCCTTGAGGAAATTCAGATTCTATCTAGATTTGAAAATGATTAAATGATTTACTTTCAATTTGTGCATCCCGCAGAATAATCTTCCGTGAAAGTTGAGTACAGAATGAATGTATTTTTTTTTAAAACTGGCCAGCACTTGACTGCCATCCCACCTGACGGTAAGGGGCGATGCAGCCGTTGATGGTAAGCGTGCTAGCGCCGTCAAAACCTATTCACTCTTGCCTTGAAGACGCTTACGGTGTAATAATGAATTTTATCATGTTTTTTAAAAGGGAAGTACTATTTATACGATTTATTAAAATGTCAAAAATGTATACAGGCTGAATTTTTCAAGTGGGCGTGGATTGCCAAAACCGAGACCATTAGGAAAGGCGAAAGTGCTCAAGAGTATAGGGACCGATTTTAGTTAAAAGTGAAACAACATAATTGGATCCCCAGGCAGGAATTGAACCTGCTGATCTTTGAAGAAAAAAAACACGATATTATTACATCAATCAACAGCTCATAAGGAGCAACTTCTGGGAAGTAACAAAACACTTGATTTTCAAATTGCCTGAAACTCTATATTATTCTATTTGACTGGAAGGGAATCCTTTTTAGCATTTTGTCTTGCCTTTGTCAGTGTAAGAAATAATTAAATGATAGCATGTTACAGTTTTCAGCATAAACCATAAGTAAAATGGATTAGACATACTACATACAACGACCGAGCTAGCGAGATCAAAATAAAAATTGAATTAGATGGACGTTCATTGCATGTAGGACTCCCCTGTTCAGACCTTATTGGGTTAGCCGTGAGGGAAACAGTTCGCAACCGTTAATTATAATCGCTTAAATTCGTTTAAAAACAATGACTATTAACACTGAACAAAATGACAGCAATTTTATACTAACTTGATATGAACTAAAATAGATTATAATTGTATAATATTCATGAAATTACTGCATTATCGCATGGTTCTCCATTTATGTATATCCGACAAATCTATGTTCAATGATTATTCTTCGGATACACAGAATATGAAGCAAAATTTGATTTTATATGACCATAATTTTAACTAAACAACATAACATACTAGAGTAGCTAATGACCTTTTATATTTTTATATATTAGCTGTTTACTTTATAAACATTTTATTTAAGTAATTACCATTACAAAAATGTACCGCTCTTCAAAGCCAAGTTACTAACGCCGCACTGATTTGTTACATATAACAAAACGTAACAAATTACCATCATCTCTATTGAAGTAAATTTTAAACGAACCGATTATTATTCCATATGTGTTTTATAACCGCAGAAATGAAAAATAGTCTCTGCATGTAGATAATCAAATAATAAATGAATAAAATACGGCCGACTGGGGTTGGGAGCAGTCTATTGTTTGTGGTATGCCACAACAAATCGAATTACTAAAACTCCTTGCAACCTATCGAAATGTAATGAGTTTATATAGGACGCTAGTTGAGTGGTCATTGAATAAAAAGATATGGAAAAGTATCCTTTGGTACTGCGGCGTACTATTTTCTTGATTTCTCGCTCAAATTTAATGCTGTAATGTAAATTGAATGCTGCCATCGTAAAAACGTATCAGCAATTATTTGTATGCTTCAAATATAATAAAACCACAATAACAGTTACATTTAATTATTTCAATAAGAGAAACTGTACTGTGTATTTATAAAAAGTAGCCATCCTCCACATGTGGTGTAAATTTATTAAAAAATCATTGAAAAGGACTTTCTTTAAACGATTTAACTGTCAATAATATCATAATTATAATACATGAAATTTTATTGCGGTATTAAAGCTTTCTTACTTAACTCCTTATTATAACGTTCTGAAATTCCTTTCTGAAGTTTCGCAATAGACCTAATTAAATCTTATGTGCAAAAGTCTCAAAGTCGTCCATAAGTGAATCGCTTCTAGACAACCAATAGTCTATTACAATTGCACCCCGAGTAGCGGGGTGTGGAGGGGGCGAGGGAGGAAGACAACGTCGAACTAGCAGTTGTAATCAGTTTAGAGAACAATTTGCCTCTCTGGCCATGCGTGATGCATGGCGGCATAATCTGAAAAGCCGAGTGCTCGCCGATTGCTTTTTTAAAGTGCCATATTGCGAATTGAATGTTCAAAATTTTGATATAGATTGTTAATGCTCGAACTGTTCCTGAGTGAATAGTTCATTTAGATTATGAGAATTTTAGATCTTCAAGTCTGGGGCTCTCAAAGTAGCATGAACGGAAAAACTATTATTATAGTGCCGTGAGAATGCTCTAAGATTGAGCGGCATTTGCAATTTATTGAATAAATTATAGCGACTGCAAGGCCCTACAGAAAGCTTTTCCTGTAAGCGTTGTTGTATTATTAGGAGGGAATTCGAAAATAATGTAAACGCAACAAACTCTGTATAATTTACTTTCTTACTATACATTTTTAAATGTGTACTTAACAATTTTTAGTAACGGAAAAAAGACAAGTCACATCCATTTAATGAATTACATGTTAACCCATACGCTTCGAATATGGTTTTTGCTTTCAGTGCAATGAGTTAACCGAGTTTCGTAACACTAGCTGCCCAAAAACTATACTTTCCTTTACCAGATATATAGATAATGGTTTGGCATTTTCTCTTTCCTGTGGCTGCACAGCCGTAATAGATCTAGCTAAGAAGTAGGGCAGCCACAACCAACACCAACAACCTTTAGAATTATCTATTGTTAGAGACATAGTACGTCTGAGTGAGGTATTAGTGGGCCACGCTCTTAAATGTTGGCAACGCAACTGCAATTCCCGTGTCGCGTTATGCCCATGGAAGGCCGTGATCGTTTGTGATCTGGCTCATCTTTAAGCTTAACTTTTCCACGAAATCTATGCCTGGTGAAGCTTTACAGACTGTCTGCGGACTGCGCACAAACATTGTCAATATAGTCAATAAGCAAAATCAAGTGTCATAACAATCACCATCGTTAAGATCCCGCGCGTACACTTGCACAGCGTCTTTTGTAAATCATTTATCTCAGATTTAAGTATGTGTCCCTTTCCTGATCAAAACCCCCGTATCCGTGTACGTTTTCATTCGTACCAGTCTTGTTTACTTTTTCCATATGAAACACGCTTCGCCACATAGGGGTAATTTTCCTCATTTCTACATAATACTACTATTCACTCCGTATATAAAACAATTACTAACCGTTTCTGAATCTCTCCCCTCGAAGTTACTCCACCCAGCGTTCTTCGTGTGGACGTTGCGACCGGTCGTTGTTTAAGGGCGCAAATAAAAAGGCAATGTCATACCTCATTACCGCGCGGCGGCCGCGACAAATCCGCTAGGATTGAGATGTGCTCCGTTGTCCTGACGGTCCTAGATTCTAATCCAGTGCGCGCGGCGGTCACGTGGCGGGCCCGCCGCTCGCGTCGCGCCGGCGGCCCGGCCTTGTTAATTACGGAAACGGCATGGAACAAACCGGTTTCGAACTGGTTCCTCTTTGTTAAATAAAATGTAAATAAAATTTCACCGACTCTACCGCGTTTTATTTCCGAGCTTCGAACACTGCAGCGGCATATTATTATATATTTCACATCCTAACGCCGAAGCTAACTTTGTTTTGCATGACTATCTCTAGTCTATGAAAATTTTGACAGTAAATTTAAGGCATTAAAGAAAATTCTTTAACGGAGTTGTTTCATTTACCTTAGGGTCAAGTACTGGTTTATTTCTTTTGTTATACTTATGTATGTATAAAATAGTATTCACATATATACACTGATATAGCAAAACCTTATTTACAGATTAAGGTCTGATGAGGTTGTATTACTAATAAATTGATATTGAATTAGTTTAGTTCACAATTTAGTTTACATAACGCCATCTAGTACCGAATAGCTGCAACCAATGGCAAATCATAATTAAAATCATAATAAAATAATTATATTGTATTTACGCTAATAAGTATTAGGTACGTCGAGAAGCAAGTTTAATTTTAGTTCTTATTCTCTATTTTCTGATTCTGAGTCTCTCTATTTATTAGGAGACAGACACGGGTTTCTCAGGACATGGGAGAGACTCCGTTATGAATATTTGTATAAAATCGGTAATATGTTTTATTTAATAGGTTAGGTCAGAAAATCAGTTTATCTTTAATTTTGTAAGGATTAGATCTACGATAAATATATTTACTTGTAATATTGTTGAAGATAAAAACATTTTGATAAAAACAGTTTTTAATGTGAAGTAGTTACTTAATTGATAGAACTGCAATTACCCATTCCTTTCAACTCCGTTTACAAACATAAAAATCACAATTCTCATGACATAGGGCCATTTATAATAAAAAAGCAATTCCATCAAACGTGTGAAATAATACATTATGTCGCCACGTGACTTTTAATGGGTTAATATGTGTATTATCGAACAATGGCCATAAAAAACCGGGCAACGAGAGTGGGCGACATTGATATCATAATCAAAATATGAAATGATATTTTTGGGGTCCCTTTTCACCCTTGAGAGGGATTAGTTGTCGCCTCGTGTTTGTTTGTTGTAATGATATTTTATTGAAATGATAGTTTGAGTAAAGTATAGTTTAGTTTTGTATAGTTTGCATTTCAAGTTAAGCTTTAAATGCTTTGTATCAATTTAAAAGTAGTATTCAGCTATTACCGGTACGAGCTAGACGACTTTATTTGTACGAAATTATACCAAATTTTTGCAGCAGTTACATTTCAATCGATTTTATGGTTAAAGAACTTAACGCGTCATATTGTTTTGATTAGCACGTACAGCGTTTATTGACAAATTCGTATCGACTTTAAACACATCTTTATCGTCCATATACTGCAATTTAATGAAATCTGATCGAACATTAGTGGAGTTCATGAACTTGCTAAACAAGATCGCCAAGGAAGCAATGTTAGTATTTCGACAGTAAACGTAAATAATGGAAGCAATGTCATCGTCGAACTTTTGATAATCCTCAAATTGGATGCTGTTAATTGATAGAGTGAGAATTCTATCGTAAATCTTTTAAGTCCCGCACAATGAGCTTCATTATAAGGCAGGGTCTGCACTAGACGCCACTTCTTAGTTCGCACGCCAAAATGAAAGCACGATAAAAAAGCGCCCGGGCACACGTGCCGACGCATTATTCGATAACCGTCGGGGGCGGTGTTGCGCCATTGAGGGCAACCCTAATTCCAACACGGACCACGTCCAAAGAAAATTCATCTCAAACGTCAAGCAATATAGTGCGATTTCGAATGGCCCTGTTCCAAAGTCGCTTTAACGGCATTCTTAGGAATACTCGGCTTACAAGCCAGTGACGTAGAGCTGTGTTTAGATTGTCCGAGCCGTGCGGTTCAAAGAAACAGGGACGTCGGACGATTTCCCCATTTATTGGTGGGAAAAGCCTCGTGTCAGCTCCGACACCAGTTTTAATATTTTTCGGTCGCGTGTCGGCCACGCGCTACGCCCCGGCGAAAAAGTCCGCGCGGGGCGATTCGCGTTTTATTGACGCTCTAGTCGTCGAGCGCCGTTGGTTTAAGTTTTTTTGCGGTCGCGCGCGTTCGTGTGCGCTGTCATTAGTCGAAAATTGACTGGCCGTCAAAGGAAGTTTAACAAGGCGTTTGAGGCGCGCTAACTTTAAATTGCTAACGCACACTAACGACTCCATTGTCCGTTTTAGGGGGGGTTGTTCGAAATGCTGGCCTTTGAGCGTGCCAATTTTAAATTTATATGCGAAATGCTTGCTTACTCCAGAAATGCCGAAATGAGATTCTCTATACTTTTTCTGTATTGTACTACTATTCTCAGACATCAAGCTTACTGACGGTCAAAACATAATTACCAATCATAAAACTATCAAATGTACTATTGTTTTTATCGTCTTTACTATTCTATATCTTTTTTATATCTTTACTATTTTTATCGTCAGCAATCGTACAGCATGATAATGTTGTCTTGCATGATAATATTAACTAGTACTTCCTTATGATCAGCTTGCCTGACATCAACCCTGCTTAGGAATTAATTCCCAGATCCCGCACAGACATCTGTGGGTCATGCAAATATTTGTACCGTGTAAGTATCGAACACATGGCTCCCGGCTTAGTAACTACGCCACCGACTCAAGTCTCTGTAGTAACTATTATAAAATAAAAATAAAATTTTCATAAGGTTACATATAACTATTCAAACAAGTTCATGACGATATTCCATTTACCACTTAGTTTTATGTAACCGACATTAAGCAGCCTTTTTTCTACATGTTTTAAAGCCTTAAATAACTTACGAAAAAACTGTTTGCAATAAAAAAATATTTAATAGCCGACTATGATGATTTTTCGAAAGTTGTTACATTATAAAAAGCTTTACCTACACCACAACCAAAATTTACGATTAATGTTCTTTTTCTTTCACTTTTGACAGATTTTAATTACTTCACCATAGAATATAGATTGTAAATATTTCTTCTTAAATTATTAAATTCTTCGGTGCCTTATTTATAACTGTAAAGCCCTGTTAAGAATGCCTCAAATATTGCACGTCTATCGCCATCTATCGACATTTAAATGAACTGAACGAAGCAAGGGGATCACTCCGCCTCAAAGCAGCTATTTCCGTCCACGTGGCGACAACAATACGATACGACTGCGATACGAGGACGACAATAGGCCCGTCATAAGGAGATCATAATATCGCGTTATTAACAATGATGGCAGGAAATTGCCAATCCAGTATGAATGCGAGGCACTCCGGAATATTTTAGTATCCACATCTTCTTTGTCTGAAAACGCAATCTCTTTTTAATTGCATGGATTATAAGTATAATTATGACCGTTACTACTGTTGCCAAATTTAAGATTTAAGTCTATTTTAAAATATTAAGATAGCTATAATTTCTTCTCAATTCAATTATACAACGTTCGGGAAAGTGTAAACTGCAGATTGTTGTTTCCGTTTTTTCTATAATTATAATTCTATAGTTATAAAGAGGCATAGAGAACGTCACATCCAAGCTTTTATGATAAATAGAAAATAAAACAAATGAAGGGCTGTCTTAAACGCGTGTATATTAAGCAATAAACTAAAAACTTTTCTTAACACTAAGGGAGTTCATAAAATTATGTATATATTACGCATGCGTTGGTTGGTTTAAAAAATTATGCTGTTTCCCATCACTCGGAGTCTGTCAGCGGGATACTCTCCTGAAACACAATTTTGTTCATGAAAAATATTTAATATCTAAATTATACTTTTTGTATTACCTCATTATGAACTAAACAATATTTCATGTAAAACGTTGTCATAATAAATATTCAATGTAATTTGTTACATGTTGTTTTTAATAAATTACAGTGAACAATTAATACATGAAAACGAAATTTTCTACGACGAAAAAACGAATTTATATTACGATATTATAATTGTCGCACTTACATTCTTCGCATAAATGAATATTATTAGTATTCAGTTGTGCGAAGAATGCATGTTTAATAATTTATTGTTATTTTAAGTTTCCTTAAAATAACAATAAATTGAATTTCATAAAAAGTGCTGATAAAGTACAGAAGTTTTACTTATTGCGCACTGTGTACAACATTGATTCTTGCACTCATTCACTTCTTGCGCGTGTTGGTACACGTACTCTTTTTTTCTTTAACTAAATTTAATCCTTAATTATAAAATATCATTCAATAACAGTTGTATTCAAATTTACCTAACGATGCCAAACACAATAAACTATTAATATATATAAAATATAAATAATTCTGATAAAACATTTCATTTTTGCTATATGCTCATAATACGGGTGTAAAAGATAATTACATTCATACATATTCACATACCTTTTATTTATATCAATGTATATATTTAAATGAGCATAACTATGTACGGTATGTAGTATAATAAAAGCTACAGCTTTAACTAAAATAGATGCTACAGAAATCAATTTACTTCAAAGGTCCCGATGAAGATATCAGAGTCGTCCGAGCCTGGAGGCTGATGAACATTGTCCACCGCGGTGATTTGAGGTCCTGAGGTCAGTAGGTGTCAAAATTAGAAGAGAAAATTTTGATTATTGCAACTGTCCTTTGATTTCCTAACCCTTTCGTACCTGCTAACGTTTCATAATCTTGTTTATCTGTATAAAGTATGGTCGCTGTTAATCTGAGCATCGACGTATCAGCTTAGTAGCTTTACCACGTAGAGTTACCAAGATTTTTTAAAAGTAATCAAACTGTTAAGATACCAGACACCAATCATGATATAAAAAGGCTTACAGAAAGATACCATTAGGCTTTAACTGTGACTAGATGATGGGATAAAGATTTAAAAAGCTAATTTTATTATTTGACGAGACTTTCAAAATAAAAATTATAAATTTAACGATTACTGTTAAACTTATATATTTTTTGGATTACATCTAAGCCAATAGCTTATTAGCCAGTGAGATTAGTTAACCAACTAAGCTATCGAGTTAATTAAGTTTACCGGTAAATTAGCCAACCTCTTCAGTTTGCTAGTTAGTTAACTTTTTTCGCCAGCCTAAAATTCCATATTTTTTAACCCTATAGTAAAATAAAAATTTTTATATGCCCCGCTGCTGGGCAATGGCCTCTGTACTGAGGGTATACTGCAGATTGGCAGACTTAACATATCTTACAATTTTTTTTTGCTATCTCGAAAATATGCAGGTTTCCTTACGACGTTTACTTCACCGCTGAAAACGTAATAAAGGAATTTTCATGTCCAACTTACCCATCGGAAGGCACTCCATGGGCTCAAACAAGTCCATGGGTATGAGATCGAGTGGTGGAGAAGGTGCCGGTGGTGGGAAGGTGCAAGACGACGAAATGCACGAGGCTGTTGTCAAAAATATCGAGGTCTTAGAACAGAATAGAATAGAATATACATTATTGGACACAAGGAAATACATAGAGAAAAAATACAGAGGACATAGTGTACATATGGGTGGCCTTACTGCTAAGGTAGCAATTTCTCCCAGGCAACATTAAATATGTTAAGGTCTTACAAACAACGTACGTATGATGGATGACTGGGCGAGCAGTTGCCAAGGTATTGGCTTCGACGCTAAGGCGGGTTCGATTCCCACACGAGACGACTGTTTGTTATTCTAAACGGTAAATTGTTGTCTTACCTGATTCATGTATTTGATTTTCGCATGATTAATAAGACTTCACATCGCTCTTAAATTTAAACTTATAAATTCCATTTAAATGGATAATGTCAAACCATCTAAAAATATTATCGTTCTTTTTTTTGATGTTTTTGTAAAGCCTATATTCACTGTTACCAGAAGGACTAAAGTATTGCAATTTAAAGAAAAGATCATTGACCATACCTGATGATGCTGCGTGGTCTTCGAATCTGCTAGATTTCTCGTGCGTGGAAGGCGTTTTAGAAATATCTGAGTGCCTGTGGCCGGTACATGGATCCACATTAATCTCACCAGCTGCAATAACTTTATGTTAGTTTAGATGTAACCATAATTATTTAATTTTAACAAGACTACACTGATGCTCAAGTAGCGCCATCTATTGTTGAGTAGCTAACATTAAATTATTTGATCATTTGCAGACAATAAAATTCCATAAAAGCAGTGGCTCATGAAACAAACTTTTCCCTTTCAACAAAACACAACAAACATACTATTATTTCAAGTAAAATACAGGCTATTACATCACGGAAAAAATGTCTCCATTGGCAAAAGTATATTCTTAAATACTTTTGCCAATGGTGACAATAATTCCTAATATTGCCATATTATGCGAAAACACGTACGATTTCGTTATTTTTTTGATAGTATCTATAAAAAAGTACTTAGAATTGTAAAATGGTAAATAATACGGATGTTGATGAAAAAGGATTTATGGTGTAAAAGCGAGTGGTAAAGTTTGTAGACGTCATTTTGAATGAACTTACTAACTTATTACTATATCATTCTATGATATTATTTGTATATTATATTAATTATGATATAAATATAAAAAAATTAAGCTCCATCTTAATTCCAAGGACTTACATTAAAGATAAAATGTAATCACAAAAAGAAAGAAAAATACAGAAAGGCGGTTAAGTATTACGGGTGTATACTCCGAGGAATGTCTCTATGGCGCAGTTACCAAGGTATTGGCTTCAGCGCTGGGGGCGTGGGATTATTATATCTTTATATACATAACTATTTCTGATCTTGGATGTGGTCCAAGTGATATTTATGTATTTAAAACGTCCTTACAACACAAGATAATGTTATCCTACCGTAAGAGCCAAGTTTTCGAAGATCAAAATGGTGGCAACAAATACGAATACTCCAAGAGACCTTCTGTGGAAAGGGCCGTGTGGTAGGCGCGGTGCGGCTCCTCCACACTGAGACGGAGCCTGCCACCGGGCTGGATGCGTGGCACCACAGTTGCCACGACGGGCACCCTTATTTGCAGAGCGCCCTCCATCCCCGGCCCCACCCCTACCACCGCACCCTGCAGCGGAAAGCGGCGTTCGTCACTCCCTAGCAGCTTCAATGTGACAGCGTTCAATAATGTCGCTTGTTTATTAATAAAGAATATCGAGACACCATCTCTTGTCAACAATTTGAGTAACTAAACTTTAAAATAAACTTTCTAAATGTAACTAGAGTTTACTTTGTATAGGTACGAAATTACCTGCGATTCGGAGCTACCATCGTTCTTCATAATGATTTTCCCACCGTCCCTCAGATCCTCGGCGGTGGCTGGCACCAGCATCTTTAGAGGTACAAAGCTTTTAAATAACTCGTAAACGTAATTAAGTGCTTATTTTCAAGCACCAAAAGATTTGACTAGAAACTAGGTCTGCCATCAAAAATCAGTTGATTAACATTATTATTAATTCATAATTGTCTACATATTTGCATGTTACGTTGGCTAAACTGAGGCAAGTATCACAGCCTCACAGTCTAGTAAAAATTTGTGAAGTATTTTATCAGTCTAGTACAGTACCGTCAATTAAAGGCAGTCCATGGAACACAAGAACAGAACAAATTAACGACAGAGCATATAATATTTATTGACGACCCAATTATCGTATTGGATAGTGAACCTGTGTCTTGCTCCAGAGGGTGTGGGTTCGATCCCAGCTATTGGAAAAATATCGTGTGATGAACATGAACATCCTTCTAGTGTTTGGGTATTTATGCATCTAAAATACGTATTTACTTACAAGAAAAATGGATGTTTAACTAGTATCTAGTATCCATAGTACTTTGCTTAGTTTGGGACTAAATAAAATAATAAGCAAATCCTGTCCTGAAATATAAGTGCTGACCTGTTTACCGCCGGGCAGTTTCGTGTCGACCACCTTGACCAGAACGGGTGCGCCCTTTTCCGGCTTGAGTAGGGCGAACGGCGTCTGCTTGGTCGCCAAGGCCACCCCCATGTGGTACGTCTTAATCGGGTCCACCACCACCCCCGTGCCCGTCCCGCCCCAGGGGTTGGTGAAGCACCAGGCGTCGATCGGCTCCGGGAAGAAGCGGGGCGTCGGCCACAATTCCTTCGTCCAAGCGGTGGGGGCGGTGTCTGCCCGACCTGGGTAAGGGCCCACGGTGGAGCTCACTTCGCAGTGCTCGCTAGGCGACCTGAAAGATTCACCAAAATGCTTTTTGTTCTACGTCTTCATCATCCTCCTGACCTTATTCAACCTAATGGGGGTCGGCACAACGTGTAAATCATGTTGTAAGTGGTTTTGGATGTTTTTTTATTACCGACCGCCTGTGAAAAAAAAAAAAAAAAAACACTTAGATCCGGAACAATTATCTGTGGGTCACAAATATTTTTGTGCCGTATTAGAATCGAACCCACAACCCCGACGCCAAAACCAGCTTAGCAACGGCGCCTCGGAGTCATCTAGCAGCTTTATGTTCTATGTATATTTGCATTTGTATTTATTTGTAGTCCCACTGGTTGACCAAAGGCCTACTCAGTACAAAGGACTAATGTCCTCGCTCTAATGGGCATAGTCCACCACACCCATATATCTTCACCACCTTCGAAATACTGTCTTTTATTTATTTCCTAAATATTTTTTCACGATGGCTCATCTGTTGCATACCACAAAAAATGGTAGTCAAACTTTTGTATACTTATCCCACATTTCCTTATTGATTCATCACACTAAATAGTGACCCATATGCGTAGGAATGCCGTTAAATTTTATCCACATAACTTAAAACTCTCATAGACAAAGAGATCACCAAGTGTGTTATAATACAAGACAAAGTCTTGGCTTAATTTAATGGCGAAAGGCTGTAAATGCTTTATCATTATCATCCTTTAAGGATTAAGGCATGTCTCAATTGGATCTACGAAAGTGTTTAAAGGTGTAAATTTAAGGACAAGTCACCTCGTAGAGTCGGCTTGGCCTCTAGTAATAGGAGATTTCGCCACGCGAGGAACGTTGCGTCCACTTCCGCTGCTTGTACTGCTACTTTCATCTGGGTGCGCCTATTTCATAAATACTCTTGATAATATTAATAGAAAATATTTTTCCTACGTTAAACGTTTTATTAAAACTAGTTGAAGAATTTTATAGCGGCCCTCTTTTTATTTAAACTCCCGACGTTTCGAATCTACAGCATTCCTTAGGTCATAAGACGGATTGAGATGATTGACGTTCTGATGTCACTGTTAACAACAATTCTTCTCGTCAGGTTTTCCATCTGTCCACGGGAAAAGTTTCAACTCCTCAAAGTATTCCTTTTCTAATTCGGTAGAAACCTCAACATGTCTCAAAGAAATCGTACACAAATTGTTATAAATATATGGAAATATGTACAACGTGCAAACAAAACGCGGGCTATTAGTTTGATATTTTGGTGATTTTAATTTCAAAACTTTACCTCTGCTGCGCTATTGAGTTATTGTGTTGGAGAAAAATTTAACAGAGGGAATTGATTAAGATCCGTATAAATTACTTTAAATAGACAATATTCATAATCAGTATATTGAGCAACATCACAACATATAGACTTCGAAATGATATACAATTTTAAACGGATATTTGTTCTTGTTACAACCCCGAAATAATACAAGGAAAAGAGGTACTACCTTGTTTTTGTGACAAACAAGATTCGATTGCTGATTGAACCCCTTGAAGCAAATGTTGCATCGATAGGGCCTCTCGTTTGTGTGCGTGAAGAGATGGTTGCGTAGATTTCCTGTGACAGAAAATATCCTGATAATCTCATTATATCTGGCCGATATTGATCGGCGCTTGCACAAACTAGAATATCAAGTGCGCATAGTGAAATTAGAATTCTTCTATTGATATGGAGAGATCAGATAAAGTGAAACCATCATAATCGCAATTGCAAATAAAAAAACCAAAAATTCTTACAGTAATCATTTGTAGGCTACAAATTGTTGGCGTAAGCAATTAAGAGCTTATGGACAGTTAAAAACAAGATGATACAGTAAAATATCGTGTGCAGTAGATTTTACACATAAATAACATTTTTAAATTTTATTGAATATATACCATAAGTCCTAGAAAATTTGTCGCTATACATATATGTCTGTACATATCAAATAAAATGAGTAAATGTCTTTGTCGATACTTACTTAGTTTAAAATTTCTATCAATAGTCTAGTGTCGCCGAATTTCGCCATGCCAGTATATAGTATAGTAAAATAAATAAATTATTTCACCAGCAAATAAATCATGTCAAATCAAATAACGTGTATTTAGAATAGATATTAGACACAATATATGGCGCTTAAAGTATAACTTATTTAATAAACAATGTAGCTTCTAAATTTATAATATAATAATTATGGTACTGGAGGGAAGTATGGATAAAGGGATAAGGATTAAATAGGTAACCTTTCTGATGGAATCCCTTTGGGCAGATGGGACACTTGTAAGGCTTTTCTTCGGAGTGAGTCTTGCGGTGGGATATCAGAGTGGACACGCGGTTGAATGTTTTGTTGCAAACCTGGTTTCATGACATGAGCATTTAATATACGGCAAATAAACATTTCTAACAACTAAGTCATTATGGTATTAGTTTGAATTTCATTCAATTGTCCTTTGGATGTATATTGTTATGGAGAAATAGCAGATACAGTGCAACTAACTATAAACCAATTCTTCGCCTACCATACTAACGTTATAGGTTGTGTAATTAACAACATTAATATATAATCCTATAAAGACTCAGATAAGTGTTCAGGTCGTTATCTAATGTCATTTCAGGAAAAACGACCTGGGAATCTTCAAGAAGAAAGCACCTTAAAGACTGGCAAAGAATTTGTATGCCTTCCGGTGTTGGAGATATTCATAGGCGGCGATGATCACTTTCAATCAGATGAGGCTTATGCCCGTATGCCGCCTTTTTCTAAAAATAAAACCAGCTAACTTATAAATATTAATGAAAACTGCATGAAGGTATTGAAACTCTTCAACGCTCTGTCTCTGAGCAGGCCCTATTGAGATAAAATTCTTCATTGACGCAAGGTGGACAGCTTCTATAGAAGGACGCTACTTTGCCAAGTTCCAAGACTCCTTTTCTAGTTACAAAACTAACGCCCGGTTTCTGAATGATCTTCTTAATGATCAGAATGATCAAATCAAAGAGTTTAACAATCCTTTTGGCAACTCAAATAACATTTGAAAAGCCATTTGATAGCTGATTAGTTGACTTCTACGATGATTAGCGTTTCAGAAACCAAGCGTAAGAAGATAAGAAAGGCAGTAATCAATTGTTAGAATTCGTCATCACCTCACAAGAGTACGGCCTCTCGGCGGAGTGTATCGCTCGGTGCTGACTGAGGGTCGAAAGTTGCCTGAAACTCTTTCCGCACGCGCTACAATGGAAGTTCCTCTCATCTGTGTGAGTCGGCAGATGACGCATCAACGTATATTGGTGCTGGAACTCACGGCTGCCTGAGACCAGCAAATGTGTGGTATGTATGATATACTGGCTGCTATCCGCGGCTTTGCACGCGCGGTCTAAGGGAATTAACAATGAGTTTTTTGTTATATAGCTCGCAGATTGTCGATTTTTTTCTTTCTTAATTGACACTCACTAATTCACTTGACACTCAATATCTTTATTAATTATAGCCTATGTGTTCTTTTGATATATAAGCTATATATTGTAAAGTTTCATTAAAATCCGTTTAGTAATTTAGCATGAAAGAGTAACAAACATCCATACATCCATATATACAAACTTTCGCGTTTATAATACTATAAAAAGTATAAGTAAGGAAGTAAAGAAAGGATATCGAAAATTAGTGCTATTTGGGTTTCGAGGTCCGGTGCAGCTTAATACTAAAAGCTATTAACCTAATTTACGAAGTTATTTTTTTTTAGAAGCACAGTTTTTAAATCGGAATTTTATATTTATTTTTTGTTTTTATTGTAGTATGCATTACCAATACAAACTAATATTTCTTTCCTTTTCTTTTTTTGTAAATCTTATTGTGGGCGTCTTTTTTCTTAATAAATTAATATAATATCTTCTTTCTTTCATTGTATGTATTCTAACGGCAACGTTTAAAGACACTTGTTTATTTTTGAAGGTGGCAGGGAATCCAAGAGCATCCAGAATGTGGGTTTTTATAGCCTTCTCAATCTTAAAGGTGGGCTGGATTACCTCAGTCGTCTTACAACATACATAACCGTCTTAAGTATGATATGTGCAATGCATTTTCTATTTGATTTTGAGGAGTCGAAGGTTAAATACCCATGATATATAATGGAACACATGAGAGCTAAAACCGAAGGCAATGCAAAAATCATTTTCAAAATCGAATCACAAATGTTAAACGATGTTCTTATGGAAAAAACAAAAAATACAACAAATAAATATTTTTTTTAGTCCCAGTTGAAAAGTAATTATATTTCTTCGTCATGCTGGGATTATATGGGGCCACGATACAGTTCCAGATGATCTAGCTAAACAATAGCAGAAGCTACTGCGTCTCAAGAATATAAGGGAATGAAACTGTACCGTAAACTACGAGATACTAACATATGCCGCATTCCCACAACTTCACCGTCCGTCCGTGCCTCTTCACGTATTTCACGTAGTGGTATCTCGACCTAGGATCTGCTTTGTCAATCTTGTATGTACTTTGGTTGCATTTGCCTAAGAAAAGAAAATAAGCAGTGCTTATATTTCAGAAAAAAATATTTTATCTTAGTTTATATGTAGAGTGGAATAATAATAATTTTACATGCATTTATACTAAACCTGTGTTTAACTTATCGCCATCGCCCATCCTATTTACTTGTAATGATTCATAAAATGTAAACGAAGACGAGTGGCTTTTTAATTTTCGAAAGTTCGAAATGCTTAGCAGTGTCTACAGGTACGGGGTGAATGCCTTATAGCTGCTGGAATATCTATTTTTTTTATTTGATAACGTGGCAAACTAGCTGGGTGGTGCACCTGATGTTAAATGATAACCGCCGCCCATGGACGTTTGAAACACCCGTACAATTGCAGATGCGTTGGCACCTTTTAATAAAGTGGGCCCCGGCTACCTCACTCATTAGAGGGAAGTGTAGAAGTATAAAACTACCACCTTGCGCCGGTCTTATGTGAGATCAGAGTCAAAGTCAAAGTCAACTTACCCGGACGGAGCTACTCATTCGTGCAACAGAGAAGACTGTTGCGTGGCCCTATGGCCCTACCACGCTAAATGCTCGGGAATATCTAATTTTCTTACTTGGACATGTATGCATTTTATTATATCGAGTTACCCGTACTGGCAATAGCTGTAGATGTGGATGACACGACCGGCGGCTCGCCCTGCGTCTTTTTGAGAAACTCAAACGCGTTTCGATTGGATGCTTGAAACACCGAACTTGTGGTGTCTTCCTCCTAGAATGATAAAAGAAACTGAAGAAGCTATTAGAATCATTAGAGAACACCGTTATTCAAATTGAACCGGTGGTGAAAATAAAAAAAAAATCTAATCTTTTCATATAAAACTATTCAATAAAACTACTTCCATTGTTAGAGCACTGAAAATAATTTCATTAACACGTATTTCAAAGGGCATTCCTAAAGTTAACCGAAATTACGATACGACTCCTGGATCAATTAGTACATTATAAACTGAAGACACAAAAAAAAAATAGATTTCGCAAATATGTTCAACAATCCTCGATAGAAATCAGTTTCGGCGCCAACCTTCATTTCGGTCTTCAGCTCCACATCCAAATCCTTGCCGAAGGTCGTCTGGCCAGTTGTTCCAAAGCCCGGGTCGGAGACCAGCGACGCGATGTTGCCATCCTCCTCCGTCCAGGCGAACCTGGCCTGCTGTTGCTCCGGAACTTCGGGGTAGAAGCCGTCGCGGAGGTAGCGTGGCATCTCCAGCTGTAACGAAAGCGGTAGGCAGTCTACTACAGCTGGATAAGCGGTCTACTCAATAGAACTGACAGCCTTGTGTAACTACCGCTATCTGTCTCTCTGAGCGCGATAGATTTAGGAACTTCTGAAAGGATATTCAGGGTCTGATTCAAGATGAAGTATTGGGTGTACAATTCTGTGATGTTTTTTGTAATGACTATGAAGGAATAGTAATAAAATCTCGCCGCGCACTTAAATCTCGATACAAGTTAAAAATGAATTGTGGACGTGCACTCTTTGCTACCCGAGCGAACCCGGGGTGTGTCGCTAGTGAGGTTTTAAGCGGGAAAGCCAACGACTGCTCTGTTTCGAAAGAAATTCGCTACCAAGATTGGAACGTGGGACACTTGTATAAAATATTTCATTATGAAAAGAAAAGCTGTTTACGCGGTAGAAAATTTTAGTATTTAAGCCTCTACTATTTTAAATTAATACAATCAAGCCATAAGGGGTACCGATGGCACAGCTTGGTATTTACTGTAGATAAAACCTAAAGATTATCTATAGATCTAGATGAAGATACATAATTCTACGCGTCGTACATTATAAACAAATACGAGGTAGATATTGCAGTAGCACACCGAAACTAAGGCACTCAAATTACGCCAACTGGTGTAATTAGATTGCAATTCTATAGACTGCTATCTCTTTCCGTATCATAAGTTCTATATCATCTGTCACATCTACTTGTGTCATGTATTGTAAACGGAACAATTTTTAAACGCCACGCAGTATGGATACGTCATCTTTATTAAAACGCTATTGGCACCGTAGCCTCAGTATCTCTCTTAGTAATATAAAAAAAACTGTGTTCAATAAATTAATGACTATGACGTAACAATGACGGAAATGCGTAATTTACAAATTATCCCTTTAAATATAAAGTATTCAATCAATTATATTAATATGGCCGCTATACGTCTACATAACGTACTTACATGTAACTGAAATTAAGTCTGTCAAAATCCCATGTACTTATTTCTGGACGTGACATAATAATATAAGCAAGAAAACAGTTCAGAGATGGAATTAAAGTAACTTGGCATAAATATATAATTTTAATTGAATAAAAATAAGTAAGAGTCCCTTACTTCATTTGTGGTCGGATTCGTAAAAAGAGGTTCATTTCCAAATCCCAAATCCTTTTTATAAAACTTGTCAGTCAAACAAACTTCGTGTATACTGAAACAAATTGAAAAACAATAATCGAAAAGAGTCTAATTCAATATGGTCGCGTGTGAAATGTTTTTTCGCAATGAAATAAATGAATATCAAACCTTATAATTTCGTCGCCGGGTCTCATGAGGCTACTTTCTTTTATTTCCTCATCACCAAGCATCATTTATTTTTGTAATATTCAATTTTTTTAGACAAAAAACGCTAGCTCCGTGTCAAATTTTCAATTTTTCTAATATTTTCGTTACTATGCCTACAATTCCAAATGACGAATGGTAATTTTTTAAATTTAATTTTTAAACATCAAATGGCTGCCATTATTAATCGACCTCTTTTGAACTTATTAGGTCAGTGACCTTAGCAACATACAAATTGACATGGAATGTACAGTTCGTTGCACTTTGTGATCGATTTTAATTATAATGCACTAGCTGGGTCGCCCCGGTTTCGTACGGAAAAATAAATCTAATATACGTCAAATTCCATTTTAAAATGTATCGATTACATGTTTTAATAATAATATATAATGAATATAAATATAACATGAATTATCTGTAAAGGGAAAATATGTTTCTAACGACCGTAATAGAAGTAATAGTTACTAGAGCGTTGTTTAGATGTTTTTCTGATTTTTACAAACACAAAAGTTACTAAAAGATAATTCCTTTTATTTGACAAAAATATCTATACCTAGCTATGTCACTCGAGTAAACGAAAAGGAACAACGTTTACTGTTTTAAATACATACTTAAACATTATCCCAGATAATTTTTAGTGAACTCCGGTTCATCACGATAGTTGCGATGTGATATAATCTAAATAAAATTCCCACAGCGGCGACAATCTTTTCGCACTTTTTCTACATATTTTAATGTTCAATCTTAAGTGCAAAGATTAGCACTATAAACAATTTTAATTTCCACTCTCCTTGTATTTGAAATTGGAAGGAAATACGTATTTTAGATAGTAACAGAATAACTTATTATTAAGTAAAATGCTGCGTTGAGGCTAAAACATCATTTCAGTTGAACGCAAAAAGTTTCCGAAAGTAACGAATGGAAATATCTTTCTGTGAATATTTTCGAGTGGTTTATTACAACGTCTAAGTGGTCTGCTCATTTCGTTGCGGGCCACTCGAATATTTGAGTGCACTCATCAGACTTACCAATGTTTGTGAAGAGAAAATTAATCTTATGAACAAAAAATATATTTCCATCTGTACTGTACTTGCTCGTTCTGTTTTTGTAGTACCCATATTTTTTTACCGTATTTTATTTTGCTGGAGTCTTTACTTTAGAATATACATTATAGATGGCGCTTTACGGTTTATGATTTACATGTTCAAATAATAAGAAATACGTTTCATGAAATTGTTATCTTGTCAATTAATATTAGTTATTAGCGTTAATTGTTTAAACACCTCACAAATATAAAATAGAAAGACATAAAAAGTAAATTTCTCTATTTTCATATTTTATTGCAAAATAATTGAATAGAACTTACATTGGTGCAATAAATTGTATGTTCACATTTACTTAAACATGAGAACGGTGTAACGTTATAACTAAATTTAAAAATAAATTTGAATATTTCACGCAAACGGGATGGTCACGGATAAGTGTATCAATAACGATAGTATAGAAATAAAGTTATATATACGAAAATAAATTGCTTACGTACGATAAAGACTACTTTGTACATTTTATCACGTTTGTGAAAGCTGCCGGCGTAACCATATACGTGGCGCCATCTCTTAGCACCACTTGCTTCCGAATCTGTACCCTATTCGTTGTCACTTGTAATTTTTATTTCAATATTGATACTTATTTAATTTGCTAATTTTGCTGAAGAGATATTAACTTTTAAACAGGAAAAAGAAAGATACATGGTAACTTATCTATGATCATGTTCTAAAAAAAGTTAATTTATCTTTATGTCATAAAACGGTATGCTATATTTTTATATGTGAAATATTTTTAATTAAAAAAAGAAATTTTTTTTTTTCGATAAAATTTTCTTAAGATGCCTAAGTGCGTAATTCGCGCCATCTCTTTTCAACTTAGTGACTACTACAATGTCATATCTGCAGATAGTTATAATGATAAAGTGACATCTACCAAAGACTTCTGGAACTTTGTTGTTTGTCGATCCTTTTATCATGACTCTTATCAAGCATAAGCCTGTTGTTACGAAAACTCATGCAGTTTCAATGAGTTACTATAGAGGGCACTTTCTTTATTTATAACTTGTTTTATTATGTTAGTAGTATTTTACTTGTTATTTTTAATTAGATTTAGTAATGGTTATGAAGTTTTATTGCGAACACTAAATGGATGTGCCCGTATTATTAAAAAATATTATCAAGTTATGTGACAATATAGAAACCGACGTTTCCTTCCAATTGGTGATTGAAATTTTTGCGTTTAATACTTTATTTGTCCATGTTAAATTATTGTTTTGAAACATTCAAAAAAGCTAATCCGTTATAAAACGTACCGAATAACGTCCAAATGTATGTTTGAATTGATTGTCGAGGGTTGATTGAATTGTAGAGTCCATTACTATACCATTAGCAAACGTCTTTAAAGTAAAAATTTAATACATTTTTGTTATGTAAAATTTTAATTGTACAATACCTTTTTTTAATAGGTATATTATGTAAATAACACTTTGATTTTTTTTTTATGGAGAAAAGGGGCAAACGAGCAGGAGGCTCACCTGCATTGCAATTTATATTGACTTTTTTTGGTTAATGGCTAAATTTATTATATTTCAGGTTCTATTTACTCCTCGCTTTACTTACTTTCTCGTTCCTCTACCGTTGTAGACCTAGTCGTATTTCAAGAATTTGCACACGATCAACAAAGAGTATTTTACAATATACGAGATTTCGTCCAACCCACTCGACTTGTGGATTTCAATGGAGGAAAGTGCTTTACACACAGAACTCAGTAGAATTTTGATGTCTGGCATTCCGTGCTCACAGATGATGAGGATGTTCTTCTGCGGAGCGTTCCCCTACCATCCAGTGTTGAGGTAAATAAAAAAAAACCCAAAAGATAGGCATTATATTTCGCTGTGCGGGCCAAAGAGTCATACTTTATTGGGACCAGAGTCATAGGGATAGCTATGCATGAAGAAACTTGGATCGTTTGTACAAAATTGTACTCTAAACTATTTCGAACCCAATCACTTTGTCAATGTTCGTCGCTTGACTATGGTATATTGTTGCATTAGACTTAGAAACAATTCAGACATATCAGACACGAAAACCTTCATTAATTTGGACGGAACTCTCAGTTTTGTCGTTTATCATTCTTCGGAATATGTGTACCGAATTCAATATAATGTAAAACTTGGTAATATTATCCACAATGGGGACAATGTTCAATAAATGTTCTCATATAATTTTCATTCATAGCTTCAAAATAATTATGGAATCTTAAAATGAGTTTTAAGATTCACTGATATTCAGTGTAGAGTCAAACTCGTTTTATCCTTTTTAAAACCGAGATCTATGGTTTAGCGTTGTTAATCGATTTCGTTTTCGAAACATGATTTGTGTAAAGGTCCGGCATCTCCATGTCTTAAAAAAATATATTATAGGATACATTTTTACACAACATTCTCTAGTCCCAAACTAAGCAAAGCTTGTACTATGGGTAGTACAAAACTGATAAACATACTTAAACATACTTTTCTTTTGTAAATAAATACATATTATACAAATATTAACACCCAGACACTAGAAAAATACTATGTTCATCACACAACATTTATCCAGT